ATCATTCCATCTATCAAAAAAGTCCTACAAACAAAATTTCTATCGAATTAAGCCACATTCAAGCATTTATGGCAACAATTAGTCATGTAATGTAGCGAAATACACATTAGAAAATGCACTTATTAGGACCCACTATTCTTTAATCTGGTATAGTTTGCATATGGAATCTTACATGACCTAATTTCATATCTTATTTATCCAATTCTCTACTAACTGCTTTTCTACAAAACTTGCATCATTGCGGAATTTGTTTTGCCTATATCTTCTCTCTTTATTGGTGGTATGTACCCGTGGACGTGGTCATTTATACTCATTATAACTTTTTAATTATCTGTCTTATTCACTACATTAAATTTCTTTCTTTACCACAAACAATATTAGAAACACATTTCTAGACTATACGATTAAATCAAATAAAACTAATAATTAAAATACTATTGAATATGTGATTCCTCCTCCTTTACGGAGGGAATTCAGTGACGTCTGTATTGCTACAGAACTCATGGACACTGATTTTCACCAAATAATTCGATCTAATCAGAATTTATCAGAAGAACATTCTCGGGTAACACTTTCTTTTCAAATTTCATTTTTCCTTAGCAAAAGTTGCAAGCAAGCACTAACATTTGCTTTATAATTGGACTACTTCCAGTACTTTTTGTATCAGATACTTCGAGGGTTAAAGTACATACATTCTGCTAATGTGATCCATAGAGGTTTGAAGCCCAGCAATCTACTGTTGAATGCTAATTGTAATCTTAAGATTTGTGATTTTGGTCTTGCCCGACCTACCGCAGAGAATGAGTTCCGGTACAGGGCACCTGAACTGTTGTTGAATTCCTCAGAGTACACTGCGGCCATAGACGTGTGGTCAGTTGGTTGCATTTTTATGGAGCTTATGAACAGAAAGCCTTTTTTGGCTGGAAATGATCACGTGCATCAAATGCACCTATTGATAGAGGTGAGACTCGATGTGAAAATCTCAAGCTAGCATATCAAGGCTTCAATTATAAATAATGAACTAGAAACATAGCTATTTACGGGAATTCTAACATAATGTCCCTCCCTGTGGAAAATCTGCTCTCTTTTCCGCTAATTACATATTAGTAACAGGACTATTGATGTGTATGTAAAATTATAGCCAACCTCTTGCATTGATAACTAATTGAGATAAGTACTCACATCAAATTTTCCACATGATTAAAGAGTTACTGGCAATTACTTATGTTTGGTAACATATTTTTGTAGCTTCTGGGAATACCTACTGACGCTGACCTTGAATTCAACCGAAATGAGGATGCAATAAAATACATCCGGCAACTTCCTCGTCAGCCTTTAGCAAAGATCTTCCTACATGTAAATCCATTGGCCATTGACCTAATCGATGAAATGCTGACAATCAATCCCAGGAAGAGAATTACAGGTAACTTTTTTTGCTTTCCTTGATTATTTTGTTTCATACGTGTGCAATTTGCTGATATCATAACCAATTAAGAAAAATTCTCTTGATTCAAATGAATTTGCTTGTCTAGTTCAGACAACAAAATTAGGTGCTAAGATTTCTTACAACGTGAATTACAATGTTTTAAAAAGAACCAACTCTTCAAAAAAATGTTGAAATGAGAGTTTAAATGCCAAATTTGAAACGAATGGCACAATTTGTGCAATGAATGCAAACGATAGGAACATTTTGTGTTAAGTGTCCTTATTGTAAATAATTGATGATTTCATTTTAAATTTTAAATCAAAAGCCAAACTGTGAATTTTGAATTTTATCACGTAAAGGTATTTAATTAAAAAACAAAAGAAACAATAATATTATGGTAAGTTTTTCCTTAATCCTGAACAAACTCGGCTTCGTAATTCTGCTATGGAAAGTTCCCTTAATCCTAAACAAACTCTGCTTCTCCTTCCTACTACTATATATACATCCCTCGTCCCTGCCCCTTAACCATCTCGAATTTCCACATAAAATTTCAATTGCCTTTTGCTTTTAGTGATCATCAGAAACTAGAATTCAGGTTTCCAGATTTTTGTGAATTGCTGCTACTCTCAAAAGTTGTTTCTGAATCATGACGGATTTGGTAATAACGCTAGGGGGAAGAGAAATATGCAGGACTCTGTTCAAGAAAGAATCCATGGCAGGTTCTTGCAGTAAAGAGAATGCAAATGATTCAGATAATGATGGCGATTGCTCCTTTTCTGGATCTTCCAAGACTTTTAATCCCGAGAAGACAGTTCAAGAAAAGAAGTCTTGGTTGAACTACGAATTAATTGGGAAAGAAGTTTCAAAAGTGAAGATCACAGTGGACAAAGAGAAGGTGAAGTGGCTTAAAGCATCAAGGGATTATTCGTTTTTGTCATCTGATAATGATAAGTCTATGATAAACCCTAATCCTTGGATGGTTAAGAATGTTTCCAAATCACGTGCTTCAATTGCGAAGAAGAAACCTGAGGAATCAAGAAAGGCGAAAGCGACACCAAAACCACAAGTGTTATCATCTAAACCATGGAGTAAGGAATCAGACCGGTTCAAGAACTCGGGTCAATCAAATCTGGAAGGTCGTGTTCTAAAGAGAAAACAAGTAATCTATGACTCCGAGGATGACGATGGCAATGTAGATGACATAAATGTGGATTCTGATATTCGGAAAGAAGAATCTTGGAGCGCAAAGATTGCTAGGAAAGAGGATGTTCAAGAACGCAAAAGATCGTAGAACAAAAAAGAGGGAGACGGAAAAATGCAATATGTATTGAATATCATAGTATTCTTGTTTCCTTTTGTACTTGGCAACATCGTGCTCGTTTAGTTAGCTTCTCTAGTTTTTTGATGCTGATATAATTGCAATAGACATTATTTTGTGAAATATAGACATGATTTTGTTTTGATAACATCAATTTTGAGTCAGGCTACATATTTCTTTTGTCAATATCAAGAATTGCTAAAGTAAATATTTAACTTTTTTACGAATTTCACAGTTCAAGAATCACCAGAATTTTATCAGTTGCCATTTAAATTGACCGTCACGCAATGTTAGATATGTTCTCTGTTCAATCCTCCCCCTATCGAGATCCAGAGTGACCAAAAGACCGTCGAAAATTTTGCCAAACAGAAAAAAATAAAGGAAACCACATCCATCATTCTTACTGCAAGCACTGGTAGGGATTCCAGTCTTAACGTTCTTCATTATTTACTTACTGCCTTTTTCCAGTTTTTGAATTAGGGTTCAACGAGTTTCTCCAGCTCAAGCGAAAGCTCGACTTTTACAAAATGTATTTACATGAACAAAAGGTCAATAAAATATTATCAATGTCTTTTAACCAAGATTTCGCAATCATGCAGCAATTTGCTCTTCTTTAAGCTGCAAAGTCATTGCTATCTGATCTTTGTTCTCATAATCCATTTCTTTATGTAAGGAAGGATTGTTGGCAACCGACTTCTGTGGTCTGCTGTATCTGCCTGTTGGGATTTCATGATTATGTTTGCCTTCATATGTCGTTATAACAGATTTGAAGTCGGTCGAAGACCTCTCAACGTGTTTACGGACATTGCATCCAGCATGTGTACATTTGTAGTAACTCCTGTAAAGAGAATTCAGATGCAATATTGAGTATCTTCAACAAAGAAGTACAGGGATTACTTTTAATCTATTAGTCTAAAATACAAACTAATAGCTATTGAAAAGTTAAGATGAGTCCGAAAATTCTTTCAATTTGTCTGCGCAACGTCATAGATCATTATAATGGTTAGTATCAGATCAAGAGTAAACCAAAAATAGTCAACTTCTGTAAAAAAGTCGGCACTACATTTCTCTACAAAGAGTAGATTTTCGTCTGAGGTGGTTAGCTTATGAACTCATGAGTCATACTAAGATATTCTGAAATACCATCATATTGACCCGGGGCTCCTCTAGGTAATAATCAGTTTTGAGTTAGGATCACAGCTTCTTTATCATGAGATCAAAACAGGGGCCTCGATGTTGCACCACAATGTCACTTTCCCTATATTTGTTTCACATACTAGGGTTATCCTCAAACCTCAAGGCTATGCTCTCCCTTACGTGATGCCAATTTTTTCATCTATTTTACGCAAGGGTTATCTCCCCCCATGTTGAACTATACTTCAATTAGTTTTAAGTTGGAACCTTGATTCCCTTGTCTGAAATCCTATATATTTAAAAGGGATTTCATTATGTCAACTGAAATGCCAATCTCAAAAAATGCACTATAACATGTCAAGGATTTCAAATCAAAGATTTTCTGTCCATTACTTATCATTTATCTATCAATCATTTTCTATTCCAAATATTGAAGAAGATTCCATCTAGTTCATGCAAAAAATAAAATGAATGTGCATATACGTAATTTGTAAACTATCTATTCAAAAGCAGAAGGGATTTTGAATCGAGTTTTCACGCACACTGCACTATCCTACACTGAGGTTTACATACATAGATGGACCGTCGAATTAGAGAGGTTATTCATTTGGAGCTGCCTTTACCATTGTTAATTCCACAGGTGAGAGATATTAAATAAGAAAAAATTGCAGTTTTTTTAACTCTCTTTCTTTTCTTTTTTTTTTCTTTTTTTTTACGTGTCCGAGCTTTGCCAGGAGTGGCGGTCTTCCCCCTTGGTTCGCCACCTGGGTAAATCTGGATGTGGTAATAGCTTATACACACTCGAACCGGACATTCGAAAAGCATTTATCCACCTTGTGGACCTCCCTTTAAGACATGTGGACATGACTTTCGAAGGGGCGACAAAGTGCACCATAACTTTGCCACCATAGTACATCTGCTTTCCAACATAAATGTTGCCTTCCAACTGCCGCGAGGATGCGAACCTCCGATACTCCGTAGAGAACTCCCTTGCTTTACCGGTGCACCATGCTTGTGGGGGCAAACTCTCTTTCTTCTTATTATGTGGATATTAATGTCCATAGAGTAAACTTAACTTTCTCATTAAGAGTAAGGTTAACTAATCAAATACGACACGTCCAGATTAGAGATATCGTGACTGAAATTATTTTACTCTCATTAACAACAGTCAACAACTTAGTGCAATCAACCTAATAAACGGATCATCTTTATGAAAGATTGTGGCACATTTTGAAGTTTAAATCTTTTATTGACGGGAAACTCCTATTCTCCACAATATAGTAATTATTCAAAAAAATTGCGTATTTTTGGGCTCCATTAATGGCAAGAATTACAGCCTTTCTCATATTTAATAATTGAACTGTACTACTTGTACAATGAATTTGACAATAAGTTTGACAATTTGTGAGTTGGCAGACATTATATTCATTGATTTGAAAGACTGTTTTTGAATTCAATGGTCATAATCTATACACCTCACACATTGTCAAATTCATTGTACAAGTAATTTAATTCTTAATAATTTATCAAACAATATGGCGAGAATAAATTCAAAAACAAATGCGTAGCAGAAAAATAGTAAAGGCCACGTAACAAAAGAAGTCGCACCTTGGATGAGGATTTCCCTTGACCACCTTCTGGCCGTATTTTCGCCATTTATATCCGTCATCCAACAGATCAACTTCACTTCTTGTCTGCAGAACAATTCTAGATTCTGTAATTGTTTTATGTGATGGTGCTTGCATGGATGACCCAATCTCAATGCTCCTGCATCTCAAAGGGAGTTATACCACATAAATAAATGATTTGAGTAGAAAAATATATTCATTAGGATAATTAAAAAAAAAAAATGCATATAAATTTTACCTTATAAAATTAAAAAAAAAATGCATATAAATTTTACCTTCTTTTTGTATTTGGTTCACCATCATCCCCATCATTGTTTACAACTGTGGAATCTTCCACTTCATCAAGATTAATCGAGCCAGGATGATGATCAGATACTGATTGTGTAGATGCATGAACTTTTGAAGGTCCAGGTTGATGGCTCATTTCACACTGACTTTGTGAACTAATTACCGGCTTCACCTGGGAGTTCGAAGTTCCATCCAAAGCACAACTATCTCTTCCACGTTTAGAGGGTTGAGGCATATCATGATTGTGCTGCCCTTTGTATGTAATCTCAGTTATATGACCATCAACAGAACGTTCGACCTTCTTCTTGACAGGACAATTAAAATGCGTACATTTGTAGTAGCTTCTTGGACATTCACTCGCCTTTACCTGCTTCTGCCCGTATTTCCTCCAATTGTAGCCGTCATTAGTTGGTTTGTTAACAGCAACAGAAGCAGGTTTCCGTTCAGACAGAGAAACCTCAGACTGCTCTATCTTTGAACTTGTTTGTTCTGGTGGCAAAGATATTATCTGGTTTTGAGAAGATTCATTGGGTGCAGAGGACATATGATGTGCAGTTGTTTCAGCAGAAGTTGCATTAGAAGATGTTTGAAATTCTACGTGCATCTGCATATAAGATTGGGATAATGCCGCCTGAGCCGTAACATGTGCAAGAGCTTGCTGGTGGGACATTCCAAATGGACTCTGCATAAAAATTGGGCAAAATGATCATGACTTGTAAGAGGAAACCCATCTAGAAGGTCGAATTTTTAAAATTTCTAGTCTTATATTACTAAAATTGAACCAAAATAGAACATCTAAGCTTGGCTTCACATCCATCTAAACCCCTAAATTCCATCCTACTGCTCAAGGACTTGAAAGAGTGCGTAGCCCTAATTCTGAATAGCTACTCTTCAGCATAATTTCATCCCTGAGAAAAATAACAAGCTATCTGTTTTGGCAAGTTAAGGCCTTACAGTTAAGGAATTCCAGCTTGTGATTATTCTTTAATATCCCACAATAATTTCAATTCATGGAACCAAAGACGCCCAAATTACCACAATTTTATTTCTAAAAACTGCACTCTGTTTTGTGGCTCAAAATCAACTTTTTATAAATTTCAATTCCGCAAAATATTTCATACTTCACAAAGAAATTTACTAGAAAAATCTAAGTTACCTGAAGTGGGGACAAAAACCCAGGTGAATTAAGCAATCCAGAAGGACTCAGCCCAGGTGGAACCATAAACAAGGGACTCAAACTCTGAGGATCCAGTTGCATCTGCTGCGGAGACAACGCCAAATTCATCGGCCTGTTCCGCTTATAACCAGTAATACTATCATTATTTTTTCCACTGCCATCACCAGAATTCCCTTCTTTCTCTTCCCCGAAATTATTGTCCATTGAAAAAAGCCCGGGCTTGGCAATTGGCGAAGCCATAGCTCCGGCCAAAAGTTGAGAGAAAGAAAACGGACTTTGCTCGGAAAAGAAGCCGGAAACCAGGGTCAACGGACCCGGACTGAATCCGGGCAACGATCCAATTGTATCCATGAAGCCCCGAGGCGGCACAATAACTGTCGGTCGTGCCACCGCTGTGCCTTTTGAACCGGCATCTCCGCCTGTCACAGTCTCACCCATTCTTGATTCTTTATTTCTTCCCCCCAAAAGCTTCAAAGCGTCCCAAAAAAAAAACTTTTTTTCTTCCACAATCTAGTTTTCTAGTGGATTCCGATTGCTTTGCAAGAAGTAAAAAACTGAAAAATTAGTAGTGTACATCTGGGATTTTTTTGGTTTTCCAGTTTTCTCCAGCTCCACCATGTTCTCGTATGCACATGTGTATGTATAGATTCAAATTGCCACTTGTGAAAGCAGTAACTTCTGGGACCCTTGAATACCCCACGATCTAAAACATGAGTCGCCAACCAAGTTGTCCTTCCTGTATTTCTCTCTCCTCTGTCGGTCTTCAGTGGAGTTGATTGCTTTTCGTCTTATCTTAAGGCTCTGTTTCGATAAATTATAAATGAAAAAATGAAAAATTATAAATTTAAGTGACGACTTTTATTGTCAACCACGTTAACGTGTAGCTTAGGACAATGAAAATGTAACGTCAATTATCGATATTTGGTGAATAATATGAAATTTTACCGTAGTGAAATGTGGTCGACGTTTTCACAAGTTATCATTTAATTTAGAGCTTAAATATAGCTTTTCACCCTAATTTAAACACCAAAATTTATTTTTACTTCTTGTTAGAGATGGGTATTTTAATCAGAAATTTCGGTCTGGTTCTAAAAAAATTAGGAATAGCAATCGAGAATCGTTCAGGTATCCATTCGTTCCTTGATTCTTGAACCAGAACCGTGGGCATCCGACTCTAAAATCGAATATATCATTTTATAATTTTTTCATCCTGACCTAATGACCCGATGAGATTGAATGAGAATCCGATATATTGACTGTCATGTTATTTTCAAATGAATGAATTTTTTATCTTTAGAATTTGTAGAATTTAGTATTTTTTTAATTGTTGGTTTCTAATTTTTGATTTGTTATTTGAGCATGTAATTTAAAATTTATGCTCTGTTAAATATTAAATGTTATTTGATGACATATTTTGTTAGATGGATACCATTTGGTGGCATATTTACAATACATTAATTCAGTGTTGAAATATATATTTGGTGATATGTTTTAATTCTTCTATTTTTGCTAGATATTTGAAAGGTAATTTGTATCGTCAATGCAACTATTTTTAAAAAAAGGGTATGAAACTTGATTCAGAACCGTGCGAATTTGGTTCAAGTGATTGTGTAGACATGAACGGTTCGATTATGAAAAATTTGAGGTGAGGTGCGGCCAGTTTGAGTTACATTATTTTTTCATTCTCATTCTTCTACTCATTTTCAATCACGTATTTTTTAATAAAATAATATTTTTCATCACATCAATAACTTTTTCTTCTTTTTCAATCACATATTCCCTATCACATAAAAAAAAAGCATTCTCGAAGAAAAAATGTGCACCAAACAGGGCGTAATGAACGATTTCGAATAATGAAACTTGAATATTGTAATACCGAACTGATCTATTTGACGCCCAAACAACACTACTTTTGTCGAAACCATGAATCAAGTAATAAAAGAAGAAAAAAGATGGAAAGAAATGCATTGAATTTATAACTCAAGATGATTAGTCACTATCATTGTTACCAACTGCAAGTGTACTGCGTACGGTTATTTATTCTAAATATGAAAAATGAATTTCTATTTTAAATAAAATTTCGATACGTACAAAAATTTATAAATAGTAAATAATATAACAGGTGGACCGGTGGTCCCAACCGTGTTAGCCAGTTGGTTCAAAAGGTACACTGCATTTGCTCTTTCAACTTGACAAGTGGTACTATTTTATTATCCACACGAAATTGCGAAAAATATCCACTTTTATATAGTTATTTTGTGAAAATATTCAAAATTTCTTCAACATTCATTTTATTATAATATAGACCAAAATGCCATCGTTAACAATTTTAAATTTCATAATGAAGATAAATTTATTTATATAATTAAAAATTGTATCGATCAATAAAAACTTGACACATAACATATACATCTTATTTTAAAAAGAATCATGTCAAATATGCATTAAATGCTCATTTCTCCATATAAGTGGGAAATAAAACATTTATGAAATGTCGAGGAGTACACTTAAAATATCAAGAACGTTATGAAATAGAGAACTCTCATGTTTAGAACGAACTCGTTTTAAACAATGAAGATATGGTCCAAATGTCATTAATAGCTTTTAAAATGTCGAGAACGTCATGAAATATTAAAAATAACAACAATTAAACACAACTTATCAACAAAAATAAGATTTCAAAGAAAAATTCATGATGAAGTATTAATGTAGATTCTCATGGAAGCTACTTGTTCTTCTCGAAATTCCTGATAAATTGAAAAAAGAAAAATTACTTCATTTTTCATGGAGGGTATAATAGATAATTTGGTATCAAATTTGGTCATTTTTACAAGAGCTATCAAAATTAGACATTTTTCAATTGAGAAGTTTGAAATTTTCGATTTTTGTAAATTCCCCTTCTATCAAATTTGTGGATTATTGATTGATTAGACACACTTTATTTTTTAATATCCCCACGTGAAAGAAACGATGAGTGTCGAGAAGTGGACATATACACCCACAGTGTGCTAAGGGTTGACCTAGTCTCAAGTTTAAAATTTTCAAAATTTATTTTATTTTTGACGTGAAAGGTTTTTTGGGAAGTCCACATCAAGTATCAGTTCTTGAGCTTATCTCGTTACAAAGTCTACAAATTGTTACTGTAGAGGTAGAATATCGCTTACAATATTATTTTTAAGAACAATAAAGCTCAAGTCAAGCGGTGCAAAATGTCAATCATTTAAGCCCTGTTTGTTTCGGATTAAAATTTGATTTTAATCTAAATCTAAGTCAAAGTCAAACAATCAATATTAATCACATTTTTCATGGATCCCACAACTTTTCAACCACACATTTAAAAAATCCTATCACAATTCACTAAAAATTTAAGGGTCCGTTTGACAGGCAAATGTGGAAAGAAATTACATTTCAATGTTAGTTGGAAAATAAAAACTCACCAAACCCATAAAAATTCGTTTTCTATTAAAACAAAGAAAATGCAGCCTAAAGTGGTTGCACAATGAAATTCGATTTCCATTTCCACGTTGCAATCAAACGGTCAAGGTAGAATTCGTTTTTCTTGGATTTGACATTTTCCATGGAATTTCAAGCAATCAAACGGGGCCAATTTTAATCATAATTTTAATCCCCACCAAATTGGAACTTGACCCCAGAGCCTTAAGCTTTATTAAGCAACTTGTACTTACCATATATTGCCACTTGGATTGACAGCTATTTCCAACTGTATAAATAGTTTAGTTAGCTTATTTAAAGACTGTTATTCACGTTTTTCTTCTTTGAATGGAATGACTTCTTTTCCTGCCTTTTCTTCACTTTTGCTCTCTAGATTCAATATGGTATTAGAGCAATCCTGATTTTTCTTCTTCTCCAGTGATTTGATTACATCGATCATTTTGATTAATTACATCGATCATTCTGATTCATCACCCCCATGGCAACTACATCTTCGTTTTTACTAGAAAACTCAGAGAATTCGACAGCAGCAGGAAGTAATTCCAACATTGATGATGGATTGAGTCCTTATTACCTACATCATTCGGATAGTCCGGGTCTGGTGTTGGTTTCTCAACTATTGGTTGAGACAATTATGCCTCTTGGAGCAGGAGTATGTTGATAGCCTTGTCTGTAAAGAACAAGTTAGGGTTCATCGATGGATCTATCCCAAGGCCAGAAGGTAATGACAATCTAATCAGTGCTTGGATCCGCAATAACAACATAGTCATTTCCTGGATTTTGAATTCTGTATTTAAGGATATATCAGCTAGCATCATCTATTCAGTGTCTGCGTATGAGATTTGGAGTGACCTTAAGGAGAGGTTTCAGCAGAAAAATGGCCCATGCGTCTTTCTATTAAGGCGAGACCTGATGAATCATGCTCAGTCTCAATTATCCATAAGCACTTATTTTACAAAATTGAAGACGATCTGGGAAGAGTTAGAGCAATTTTAGGCCATCATGCTCTTGTGGAAAGTGCATATGTGGAGGAGTTAAGGCCTTAGCAGATCATTACCAAACTGAGTATGTAATGTCATTTTTAATAGGATTGCACGATTCATTTGCTCAAATACGAAGTCAAATACTACTCATGGATCCTATACCTCTAATCAACAAGGTGTTTGCTCTTGTTTCTCAAGAAGAGCATCAGAGGAGTATGAACAATGTGGGAAGAACATCAACTTGAAGTAACCCCATGGCTTTCTACACCAAAAATGAAGGCAGGAGATTCAATAGCAGCCAACATTCGGTTAAATATCAGAAAAAGGATCGTCCAGTTTGTACTTATTGTGGATTTACTGGACACACTATAGACAAGTGTTACAAACTCCAAGGTTCCCCCCTCCCCCCCTCCCCCGGGTACAAGTTAAGAGTCAAAGCCTTTTCTCCCAATAAGATGGTTAATGCAACAGCTAACCAGATTTCAGAGAGCTCTAATCACCAGGGGAACATGGATGAATTTGTTCAAACCTTAAATTCCAACCAATATCAGTATCTGTTATCCATGCTCAACTCCCATCTTGCATCAGCTAAAGGTGACACAGGATCTGATGTGAAACCAACAAACACATCAGATATCTCTTTTTCCATTTCTAATCATCCTATTCTTCATTCTTCTAGACACTGGATAATTGATTCTGGAGCAATCAGCCATGTATGTTTTGATCAGTCTCTATTCCAAAACATAACTCCTGTTTCAAACTCTTTTGTTACTCTTCCCAACAATTCACGAATACAAGTAAATTTTTCTTGTTCAATACAACTTAGTTCCTCATTGACATTATATGATGTTCTATATGTCCCTCAATTTCATTTTAATCTGTTATCTGTTGCCTCGTTAACCAGAAATTCTTCTCTTCAAGTAAAATTTCTCACAGACTGTTGTATCATCCAGGAAGTTCACAGTTTGAAGATGATTGGCAGGGGTAGCAAAGTGGCTGACCTCTATGTCATAGACTCATCAAGTTGTTTCATTTCTAGTTCTTTTATTTCTGCTAATTCTGCTTGTCATTTTCCTATTAACAATGTTAATAATGTATCTTCTCAGACATGGCACAATCGCCTTGGACATTTGTCTTTTAAACGTTTGGATTTGCTGAGAAACAAATTGTCTATTACTTGTAATGATGATAAGATTGTGCATTGCTCCATCTGTCCGTTAGATAAACAAAGACGCCTTTCTTTTGTTTCCCATAACAACCTATCCAAAAATGCCTTCGATTTGGTTCATTGTGACACATGGGGACCATACCATTCACCAACACATAATGGTTATCGTTATTTTCTCACTTTGGTAGATGATTGTACTAGGTTCACAAAGTTATTCCCGATGAAACAAAAATCTGATGTTAAAACCATTATTCCCAAAATTTTCTCCCTGGTTGAAACACAGTTTGGCAAACACATTAAGAAGTTTCGGTCTGACAATGCACCTGAACTTCAATTCACAGAATATTTCAATTACAAAGGTGTCTTACACCAATTCTCTTGTGTTAAACGCCCTGAGCAAAACTCAGTAGTGGAAAGGAAACATCAACACCTTCTAAATGTAGATCGTGCCTTATTCTTTTAGTCTCAAGTTCCTTTAAAATTTTGGGGGGAATGTGTGCTCACTGCTACTTTTTTGATCAATAGAACCTCTTCTCCGTTATTACATGGTAAATCTCCTTTCCAACTTCTACATGATGCCCCTGTTGACTATAATCATCTCAAGGTTTTTGGATGTTTGTGTTATGCATCCACTTTACCATCCATTAGAACAAAATTCCACCCTCGTGTGGTGGTCTGCATATTTGTTGGATATGAGCCAGGTATGAAAGGATACAAACTCTACAACATTCAATCAAAAACTTTCTTTGTGTCTCGTGATATCATATTCCATGAATCCTTGTTTCCTTTTCACTCCATACCTCATCCTGATGACATTGTTGATCCATTTCCAGATTTAGTCCTACCTTTAGCAGCATCTGATATGTCTGTTCTTCCTGCACCTTGTTCCAATTCTACTTTACCATCTTCTGATATATCTATTCCTGTACCTGACTCTTATTGTACTACAGTATCTCTTAATAGTCCTAACGTACAGCAACTACCTGAGGATATTGCTACTCTTGAACCAATGGCTCGAAGGACTTGTAGGAATGTTAAACCCCCTTCTTACTTACGTGATTATCATTGCAATTTACTTCATCATCATTCTCAATCCTCTTCCAGAATTCCATACCTTTTACAGAGGTATGTTTCTTATTCATCTCTTTCCCCTTCTCACTGCAATTATCTTCTCAATGTTTCTTCCAACTTTGAACCACATTTCTATCATCAAGTTGTTTATTATCCACATTGGCGTGAGGCTATAACAAATGAGTTAAATGCTATGGAGTCCAACAACACATGGTATGTACAACCTCTTCCCAAGGACAACCACTCGATTGGGTGTAGATGGATTTACAAAATAAAATACAAAGCTGATGGTAGTATTGAATGCTATAAAGCACGTTTGGTAGCTAAGGGCTACACACAACAAGAAGAGCTGGATTTCTTTGAGACATTTTCTCCTGTTGCAAAGTTAGTCACCGTTAAAATGTTACTTGCTCTTGCTACCATAAAAAGTTGGTCCCTCTTCCAACTGGATGTCAATAATGCCTTTTTAAATGGTGACTTATTTGAAGAAGTGTATATGGATCTACCATTAGGTTATGATGTACATAGGACAGTTGGACATAAGGGGGAGAAGCTGGTTTTTCGATTGCACAAGTCAATATATGGCCTAAAACAGGCTTCACGTCAATGGTTTTTTAAGTTTTCACAAGCTCTTCTCCTGCATGGTTTCTTGGAAGTCTAAGAAGCAGACCATTGTCTCACGTTCTTCAGCAGAAGCTGAATATAGAGCACTTGCCTCCACCGCTAGTGAAATCGTTTGGCTTCATCAATTGTGAAATGATTTCCATGTTCAACAATCTGGTCCTACAACCCTCTTTTGTGACAACCAGGCAGCCATCCACATTGCAAGCAATCCTACTTTCCATGAGCGAACGAAGCATATCGAGATAGATTGCCATTTTATTCGTGACAAAGTTACTGATAGATTTATCAAACTTCTTCCCATTTGAACTCATCATCAACTGGCAGACGCATTCACCAAAGCACTGCCTTCAACTTCTTTGCTTCCCTTACTATCCAAGATGGTGGTTCTTGACATTCACCGGCCACCTTGAGGGGGAGTATTAATCAACTTGTACTTACCATATATTGCCACCTGGATTGACAGCTATTTCCAACTGTATAGATATTTTAGTTAGCTTATTTAAAGACTGTTATTCACGTTTTTCTTCTTTGAATGGAATGAATTCTTTTCCCGCCTTTTCTTCACTTTTGCTCTCTAGATTCAATAAGCTTCAACTAGAATTTATATATAATTTCACAATTGATAATTTAAAAAATAATTTGTAACTACTCTTGAAGCTTTTAAAAAATTCCATCAATTTAATTAAATCACGCAAAAAAAAGGAAGAAGATATTTTTCCACTAGATTTCATTGACTGATTAATCTTAAAAGACAAATAGAGAGATTCTCTCTACCGAATATTCTTCTCATTCTCTACCAAGTAATCAGACCACATACTTAATGGCACAAAACAGTCAACAGAGACTTGTACACAGTCGAAATCCAGAAAATTATGTTCAGTAGACTCAATCTAATCTTCTCAATAAATATTCGACTTGGACTTCCTTCGTCAATGGCATAATCCAGTCTCCATATAGATCGGCAACTAGGCTTGGAGTAATTTTGTACACTTGAACCGCATCAACTTCACCTATGTTCACAGTGACCTCTTGTCCATGTGTTTGGGTTTTCATTTCTACCCTCTTTTTGATTGTCTCTTCGACTGCAGGGTAGGTCAGCAAATCCATAAGCTTGGATCGATCCTAAAACATACCGGAAAAATTGGAATTGTCAATATCAAAGCTCGTGGTTATCATAACACAGGGAAGACTAAACGCAGAGGAGGAGTTAAGGAATGTTTGAATTGACCACATTTACCTTTGCCCTAATAGCAGTTTCATAGACATCTGGGGAGGATCGGAATTTTGCTTCTGCTACGAATTTGCCGTAGTGAATTCTCTTTGACAGGGCCTGCATATAGGATTTTGACAGTCAAGGTTAGTTATTTAAATTTCCATAATAATACAATGATCTCAAACTGTTGAAATTTAAGCTGCGTTTCATATATGCACGAGTAAATATGACATGCATAACATTTTTAGACGTAACAACCTGTGGAATAAGAGGTGTACACGACAACACAGTTTACATCATTCAACGGACAGCTAAAACAAATCAAGGGGATGAAACCGAAAATAAGAGGTAAATGCCAATATGTAACAAAAATATGTCAACTTCCTCATATTCATTACCCATTCTAATGAATGCGAACCATTTTTAAGCCAATCAAATTTTTTGTCAAATTGAATACCTGCAAGCATATAGTGTCACAAACCGCAGCTGATCCGTAGTTACCATCATCACCTTCTTTAACCAACCTAGACAGAAGATCTCTGAAGTACACATCCCATATTGTGGCATTGATATTGATTGAATCTGCAGCTGGATGTAGAACCTGTACAAGTAACAGAAAACATAGGAATTTAGGTCAATCAAAATTCTAAAATGGTAAGGATAGTGAAAAATAGGTACAAAAAACAAGAAGTGCTAGTCACAAAATGTTACTTAAGTTTTGCAAATCTTAATTTTTATGTGAGGAAGCTAATTTATGTCTTGCTCCAATCATTTTTCTTCTCAATGCGGCAACATTTTATGAGTTGGATTGCTAAGATGGAACAGTCATTTGATTACATATTGTTTTACTGGGGTGCTGAAACTACTGGTGCTTATAAGGCAGATTAGTCACCTGTGGGTATTGCAGAGGGGGAAACATCGGTTCAGGAATGTCATCTGGGAAGAATGGATGCTCGTCCGGGCTCTTGTATCTTCCAACCTACCTCAAATAAAAGTCAAAAAATGCATACATGTTTACCCATCCAAAGTTTGAAAAAGGATTTACATACCTTAGCGTGTAGTTTTTCGGTTTCTTTAACCATGTACTCTACCAAAGAACCATCAAATCCATCCATTGCAAAAGCCTCTGGATCGTATGTCGCTGCATTATAACAGAATTGAGCCCTCTCCACAAGGCTGAAAATAATGCTATCCTCTTGACGTGTTAAAGAGTTTCTTATGCCATCAAGAGTATAGCTTTCAGTCTTATCTACCCTATTTTTTGATGTCAATCTGAAAGATGATAAAATTTAATTAAGAACACAGACAAAATGACTTGCATTCCATTAATATGTCAATGCTAAGAGAACATCTCACACTCAATACAACAGCACAATAAACTTTTCTTTTGATATTATTATTGTAGTTAAACAACATTTTTTTATAGGCTGTAATCATATATTAGCTTCAGCACATCATTTGCAAATATTTCAGCAATTCAATCATCCATGACTAATGGTGATGCCATTGGGGACTTTCAACATGAATTTAAATATATGCTGCATTCATACTGTATCCAGTCATAGGCAACATATTGGTGCCCCATATTATCAAGAGTCCTCACATAATGTGGCACAAATCTATCTACATTGTATGTCAAAGATTACGAAATCATTTACATCTCTTAACTCAATTGCTGATTTGATTAAAATCTCCCCACACCCACCCGCGGCACCACACACGCACGCCCAGAAAGAGTAATTGAATTAAACTCATGTATCAATAAAACAGCAAAAGAAAGATGCAAAATTATAGCAATAAAAAGATTCATTCAGAAAGCCATATGATCTCAGAGCTAAAATAAAGCCCGAAAGAAGAAGGCATTAGGTCCCTACCCCATGGAAGCCGCATAGGCTTGAATTGACAATGCAGCATTCTTTGGGAATCTTGAATTGGGAACTCGAATGCTGCAATTTTTGGCCAAGCTTTGGAGAGGAAAGAGAGAACTGGATCTTAAATTGGAGCTTGGCACGGCGGGTAAGGCAGCTCCTAACAGCTTTACGCCCATTGTATGTTATAGCGTAAAAATTTGGAGACTTCGAGTCAAGGCGGACCTGTATTAAACTTGTTAATTGTACTCCCTTTAATTTAATAATAATAATAATAATAATAATAATAAAAGGAATAATCAAATTACTACTAAAAATTTAGTCAATTTCCTTTTACATTGCGTTCGGTATCGTGAAATTTAATGCTGATCAAAATACACATGACACAAAAACTAACCTAAACCAACCCAACTCGGATGGTTAAGGTGGTGTTTGGCTTCATTGTGGGTAGTTCAGACAATGGAGTTTGATTCAAGTCACGCTACCTGACTCACCAATCGACCCAAAATATTGAAAACACCAAAAATAGATTGACACCCCAAAAGTCACAAACCTTAGATCTTGATCGTAGTCCCAAACTCCAGATCTAGATTGTTGTCCCAAACCCTTGATCTAAATTGATGTTCAAAACCCCAAAGATGCAATCGAAGCAATGGTTTGATGCAATTATTTTTCAATATGCTTAAGCCATAAAAGTAATTTAACATATCTCACCCCAATTTATGCCAATCGTCGCAAATCAAAGGGAGAATCAGAATTGATATCGATTTGTTGTGGTAGCGACCGCAATGGTGGCGACGACAAGCTACGGACAAAAGCTATAAATTTGAAATGCTTTGAAATTGATAATTGAGAAATGAAAGTAAATTTTTGTTTGTTTGTTTGTTTAAGCCCCTGTTTGAGATCCATTTTGGGTTAAAATGTGTTTTGGAACAATAATTTTTTGGATGATATGTAGATAAAAAATTCTAAATATATGTGTAAAATTATTTTATGGGAGAATGTGTAGTTGAAACTTGAAAATGGATTTTGAAAAATGGAGTCCAAACAGGGGATAAATAGAGTAAATTTCCAGTCGCGTTATGATAAGTATCCATGTAATTGCTTTACAAATAAAAAGAAATAAAAATATATTGCAAGCATGCTCCCTTGAATTAAAAAATAAACAAAATCCAATTACTATTAGAAATAGAGTAAATACCTTTTTTGTTGTGTGTGCAGTATCTGTGCAAATACTTTACAAATAAATAAAGGAAATAAAACTGATTGCGAGCGTGCGTACTTGAATAATAAAAAAAATGGAAGAATCCAATTCCCACTAAAGCTACAGTAAATCTTACTCTGCATTGCATTCAATATTACGTAAATAATTTTTACAAATAAAAAAAAAAAGAAGGAAAGAAAAATAGATTGCTCTCATGTTCCCTTGAATCAAAAAAGAAAGAAAGATCGAGTTACAACTAGATATAGAGCAATGTCCTCACACAACCTTGGGGTTAATTCCCTAAATGGTCAATAAACTTTGTTGAAGGTTCTCACGGAGTTATTGAACTTCAAAACTTTCATAGGTAGTTACTCAACTTTGTAAATCAGGATCCATCAATCATTGACCTAATGCCGGTTGCAAAATCAAACGATTTTGATGACATGTCAAACGAAGCAAGTGACGTGGCACGTTTGTTCACAATTTGTTGACCAAGTAAGCAAATTGATGATGAAGTGGACAACTTCTACAAAGTTGATTGACTACTTAGGGAATCTTTGAAAAAGTTTAGGGACATCGTGAAAACATTTGGCCTAGTTCAGTGACCGCGTGGGAAATCTTGAAAAAGTTTAGTAATCATTTGGGAAAAATTGTATGTTTAAAGAGACTAATCCATTTCTAAAATCGATGCAACTATTCAAATGGACACATTGGGCTAAGTTCAGTGAGCTCGTGGGAAAAATTGTATGTTTAAAGAGACTAATCCATTTCTAAAATCGATGCAACTATTCAATTGGACACATTGGGCTAATTTCAGTGAGCTCGTGGGAAACTTTGGAGAAGTTCGATGATCATTTGGAGAAAATTGTATGTTTTAAGTTGCATCGATTTTAGAAATGGACTAGTCTCTTAGTACATACATTTTGCCCCCAAATGATCATTGAACATAACCAAAGTTTTCTACGGGATCACTGAACTTTATCAAAAGTTTCCTACGTAGTCATTCAACTTTGTAGAAGTCGTCCACCTCATCGGCAATTTGCTTACTTAGCCAACAAATTTTATACAAATGTGTCACGTCACTTGCTCCATTTGACACATCATCAAAATTATTTGATTTTGCAACAGACGTTAGGTCAATGGTGGATGGGGTCCTGATTTGCAAAGTTTAGTGACTGCCTAAAAATGTTTTGATGTTCAGTAATCCCGTGAGAACTTTTGTCAAAGTTCAATGACCATTTAGGGAATTAACCCCAACCTTGTATCTTGCTCGATGATAGAATCTGAGCTAATGAGGAAAAGTCAAATAGCCAATGTTAGATCCCACACCTTATGTCCTCACCCAACGTTGTCTCTTGCTCATTGATTTGCTTTGAGTCAAGGCCACATACTCACTTGAACAAAAAAAGAATGAAACATCAAATTACTACTAGAAATATTGTTAAAATAATATGTGACCCTCATTGCGCCGTTTCACGTCGTTCTACTTGCCCTAATTATTTATAATTATCTATATTGTTGTGCACCTAGTGACAATCCCTACCCACATTGCATAATAAATGATTAAATGCAAAATGAATATATAGCTAAATCCCTTTTTCAACACCATAACTTTTCCATTTTCAAAATAGCGCTAAATCTCATTTAACTTTATTAAAAATCCCTAAAAAATTCATAAAAACTACAGAAAAATCTGGAATGTTGCTTGTTCTTTTGGGAATTAACGGATTATAGCATAGTTGTCAGACTCGACTCGGACACAGACCAGAACAATGCAGCGGGTCAATGGGTTAGTGGTTCAACCGATGACCTTGTAAGTCATTGCATAAAAATTTACAAAAAAATATAAAGTATAAATTTTTTTTAGAGGCAAAACTAAAATTTTTAATTTATTTTTCACTAATTATTTAAGTCTATAAAATAAAGTAAAATGTTGGATCAAAAATTTTTAAAAGAATATTTTTATAAAACCTATAAATTATTTATTAAATAGATATAAGTTATTTGCAAATAAGTAATACTAAAATACTTTATGTCTAGTGGTGAGGAACCCATTATTTTCTTTAGAGGTCCAATGTTCAATTCTTCTGAATTCTAAAATTTTGTAAGAGAGTTTTAAAATCCAATCAAACCGATCAACCGGGCCGGATAAATCCCCAGTTAAATCGGTCAACGCCCGATTTTGATCGAATCAAATGCATTTTGATAAAATTAATCTACCCGACCCGATCAAGGGTTCGGGCCGATCGTCCGGGCCGGGCGGGGTTTTATAACTATGAATTATAGTGTTCGGTGATATATGTAGATAATAAACTCTTATCGAATGAGGTAATGCTCCAAATGTTCTAGGGTTGTGACAACTACATACAACTCTTGCTTTATAATTACTCTACTTTTACTTTTGAGTGATTCGGTTGCTAGTTTGTATCAAATAAAGTATATACTTCGACTTTCTTGTGCTAGAACTTTCATTTCCAATGATATTGTAAAATTAGGTGTAAATTGACATCTCCATAATAATTTTTACACCTCATTTACATTCTGATGGTTCTAAATTCAAATTCTACTTCAATAGAAAGATCTAAATAAATTAGGTGCAAGTAGATTGGTAGCTTTTTGCTACTTGTAGATCTGATTTACATCTTTTCTTATATTTTCTGTCGAAAAGTACAATTTACATTTCCGTTGCATCTCTCTATGAAGAGATTTTCGATCACTCTTTAAAAATTAAGTCACAATTTGAATCTAATTTAGAGCACCAATGAAAGTGCGCTCACTAAAGAACTCCAATGGCACGCCTTCTTGAGATAAAACCGTCCCAATACCTATCACTGGTGCGTGTCTCAACTTGGAATGGTTAGTCACAGTTGGGCAAAGCCAAGAGGCCTTTCTATTTAATGCACACCCACCTACCCACCAAACACTTAAAAAATGGACACCTTAATGAACACGTGGATAATTACATTATTGAGGATAAATTAATAAGGCCAAATACTCGTCTTTGTGACCTTATTGTCTAATGAATTTTATGTAGCACTAATTTTACACAATCTTTGATAAAAAGGAAGAAGAGAAAGTTAATCATAAGCTCTTGCATGTTTACAATTTGTTAAACTACTTTTTATCCACACATTTCGTGAAACGTCCTACATACTTATTCATTGCTAATTTGTATATATTTTTTAAAATTAATCAGATTAAGCCCCCGTTTGGTGCACATTTTGAAGGTAAGAATATATTTTTACTGTTGATATAATGTGAAATATGTGGTTGAAAAAGAAGGAGAAGTTATTGATGTGATGAAAAATATTATTTTATTGAAAAATGCGTGATTGAAAATGAGTAGAAGAATAACAATGAAAAAAATAATGTGGACCAAACAGGGCCTTAAAAATAACTCCCAAACATGTCTTAAAGTTGAACCATTAATTTTCGAATATAAAAAGGGTCCACATTTAGCGGTTATTTGACAAAGGTTTTGATAAATATTGATGAAATTTGCGATTGAAAAATTAATTAAAATTACGAATTTCCTAAAATGTTTGATTAAAATTAAAGTTTGATACGTAGAAAAAATAATAAAATTTTATTAAATCATTGGAAATAAGAGGTGGAAATGTCACCACAAGTATGCAAAAAGAAGTGGATAGATGCATTGCACGTCATCCATTAAAGGGCAAAACAATGACCAAGCTGAGACCGAAAGAAACCATCCTATTAGGACATTATGGGCTCGACATCAATTCGTGGTGCAGATTCAACCTTAACCCCTACATCAGCTAAAACCTAACTCTTTTCTTATCCTTGAGGTTATCCATTAGCCCAATTTTTTTCATATTTATTTCATTTGAACAGAGTGCTATCAAGTAAACCACCATGGAAGCTTGTTTTCTCTCTTCAAATTCCTTCACGAAAACCATTGAACTTCTTCCTTCAATCAGAGGAAGAATTACAAGAAAAAATCCCAATCAATATCATTGCAGGAAATCTGGGAATCCATTCTCTGTAGCATGTAAGTTTGCTATATGTTTTTCCCATTTTTATATGCTATTTTTTAGAAATAACTGCGACCAAAACACAGAGTTGGTAATAAAATTTAGTGTAACTCGCGAGCAAATTTTTGAACTCTATCGACTCATTTTTTAGGGTCGAGAGGATCCCCAATTCTTTATTGATCCTCGCAACCATCTTGTGCTGTCTGTTGAAAGCTTTTCTGTGAAATGAACCGTTTGATCAATTCTGTCTGTGACTGAAGTAAATTTAGATTTTAGCCTTTTCTTTAAGTTTGTTGTAGGTCAACCTATCGATTAGGTTCAAGTTCTGATGCCAACCACTCAGAGGCGGAGGTAGTTGGGGGCAGTGCCCATTTACATTTAAAAACCACAAGAAAAAATCAGCCCATTTACATTTAAAAACCATAAGAAATTGAAGAATTTTTGCCTAGCACTACCCCAGCCCATATAAAAACTTTAAGAAGAAATTGTAGAATTTTGACCCAAATATTAGCATTAAGCCCAACTCTAGTTTGAATCTCAACTCAAGTCCAATGCTTAATTATTTAAAGTGAAAATTACACAAAATCAGTGTTTTCAAGATTGAATTTCAAATTTCAGATATCAAGTTTCACTTTTCAAAATCAGATATTTCATTTTTATACAAACCATAATTATACAATCCTCTCCATCTCCCTTTTTCTCTCTTCAATCTAGTCTCTCTCTACCTTCCCCACCCCTAACCATAACTATTTCGACACCGCACCCACCCCCTCATTTCACTGCGCGATGAAGCTGCTTTAGAAGCGGCACAATGCGTGTGAACAGTGACGATGAGGCTGCTCCAAACTCGTAGCAACGTTACCCGGCGGTGTACCAGCCGTTGCCACCGCAGAAACTAACCGTCATTCATCACTGTCGTAGTGTAGCTGCTCGTAGGACCGCCGCGTGCAGCAGAGGGTCGCTCGCACAGGACCACCATTGTGGCTCCATCAGACCCTCACCTATTCTGTGGCTCCTTCAGATTCGTCAGATCTAAAGCCCAAACCAGAAAACATGAGCTGGTAGTGGTGGAGGAAGATTGGTGGTTTTCCTATTTTTATATGTTTTTTCTGGTTTTGTTTGCAAATGGTTGTGTTTTAGTGGTGCTTGTTGCGGTATGATAGTGGTGTTGGTGGTTGTTCAGTTGTGGTTGGATGATAGTCGTGCAGGTGGTTGTTGGTGGCGGTGGCAGTGACAGTGATAGTGGCTGTGGTAGTGATGACGGTGGCTGTGGTGATGGCATTGGTGGTGCGTTTCTGTTGGTGGTGGAGGTAGTTGTTGGTGGTGGTAGGTGGGTAGTGGTGGTCGTGGTGATGTCAGTATTTTTAGATGATGGTTTGTTGCCGAGAGGTGGTGGTGGTGGTGGTTCCGACGATGGGGGTTCAGTTGTCATGTTGTTGGTGGCAGTAGTAAGGTAATAGTTACAAGTGTTAGTGATGCTAATAGATTATTTGGTTGTTTGTGACCAATGGTGGTTGGGGCTATAGGGGTTGGGTTGTCATGCTGTTGGTGGCAGTGGTGAGGTGATAGTCACACGTTTTGGTAGTGGTTGGTGGTTACAGATTATTTGGTCATGTATGACCATTAAATTCATTAATTTGTGACCAATGAAAAATATAAATTGTGACCAAGAAATTCTGTGTGACCTAAAAAATTGTTAATTTGTGATTGATAATTTGACAATTTGTGATTGTCTACTAATTTGTGACTTATAATATTTGTGATTTGTAACCGATAAATAAGTTGTGACGTATAAATTTTTTTTATTTATTTTGTAGTTGAACAAATTGTGACTTATAAAATTTATGAATTGTGATCGTAAAATAATTTGTGACCTATAAAATTTCTAATTCGTGACCGATAAACAAATTGCGACCTATAAAATTTTTGAATTGTAACCGTAAAATAATTTGTGACATGTAAAATTTGTGATTTGTGACCAATTAATAATATGTGATCAATTATATAGAATTTGTTACCAAATTATATGGAATTGTGGCATTAATATATTTAATTAATAAAATATATGTTTAATTTATTTATTTATAAATAAAATTTAAAAAAATGTGAGATTTGAAATTTTAAATCTTAAAAAATCTGAAATTTAAAATTTTAAACCTTAATCTCTTAAATTTAAAATGAGTGAAACTTAATCTCTTAGTTATGAAATCTTCCCCTATTTAAATTATATTAAAGACGCTATGATTATTAATTACTATTTTCATGACATTCATGAAACGTGATATTTTATTGTTAAATTAGATATTTTATTTAATGCATGTTTGACTAAATTTACTTATAATTATTAATTAAATTTATTATAGATAATTTGTATTGATTAGATCTATATTACTAATTCATACTTATGAAAAAAATTACTTATTTTGACCATTAAAAAAATAAATAATTTACTCTAAATTCGATATTGACAATAAAAAGAATATTTGTTAAAGCTTATTTATTTATAAAGTAATCTATACATAAACATATTCTTGAAATCGAGCAAAAGAAATTAAATTTAATTTATTTGACCCTCAAAATTCTTAGTTGATTTTTTTCACTTTGGTTGTGATTCTTCACTCACTTTGACATGTGGTGATATAAAAGATCGATAAACACCCCAAATAATATTTCGAGATAACAACATATAGATAATAGTGATATTATCGACTGCGTGTTTCGATCAAACTTTCAGTTATTAGAAAAGATTGATCGTCAAAGTTACTAGAAGAGTACTCATTAANTTCAGTTGTTTGGAAAAATTAATCGTCAAAGTTATTAGAAGAGTACTCATTAAGTAATTTTTTAAATTTTCATTGGTGGATGTGTATTTTTGCTTATTTCTATCATAATTTGATTGATTTATATTTTTAAGGCAAGCATTGATTTTCTATTTGGTAAAAAAAATACAAAGATTTAGTGGGATATCTTAATGTGAGACATTTAAACTTTTTTTTATTTCATTGAGTTCCATGTACTTTTTATAGTAAATGTCACGAGAATAGCCTCCGAAACTTGATTTCTTGTGCCGAGTTTATTTGAAATTTTTTAAGTTTCAGTCCATCTTAACATCATTTTCTGGCTCCGCCCTTGCAACCACTCGACCTTGCTCTAATACGTCCGCACTTTGAGATAATCTTGTTCGTTCATTTGGATGGGATGATGTGTTGCTTCTATACATGGCATCTAGATTGGTGTCACGTATTAGGCATTAATGACCATACATCTTGAGCTCTTACCCATACACGTTGATTAACATGATATTTTTAATAGAAATAAAAAACAAACTTTGTATAGTTTTTGCGTCTATTTTGGGTCGATTACAGGTTGCCAATTGGGTTCACCATCCTCATCTCCTCAAGACGAGCCGATGCCTTCTATTAACGCGGACTGGCGAGCATTCAGAGCCGGACTAATCGCTAGAGATCGAGCCATAAAGCAAGTAGAGCCTTCTTTAATGGTTGACCAAGACGCCATTATTTCTCAGACTAAACCAAACGCAATTGGAGACAAATGGGCCCACACCATCCATGAACCCGAAAAAGGTTGCCTATTGATTGCTACAGAAAAGCTAAACGGGGTCCACATTTTTGAAAAGACAGTGATCCTTCTCTTATCTTCAGGCCCAATAGGCCCAACTGGTGTTATACTCAACAGGTCATCACTCATGTCCATTAAGGAAATGGGTTCATCGGCACTCGATGTATCCGGTACTTTTTCCGATAGGCCCTTATTCTTTGGGGGCCCATTGGAAGAAGGGCTTTTTCTTGTAACCCCGAAAGAGGGGAAAGATTCATTGGGGAAAAGTGGGGTTTTCGACGAGGTAATGAAAGGGTTGTACTATGGGACAAAAGAGAGTGTGGGGTGTGCTACTGAAATGGTGAAAAGGGATATGGTACAAGTAGGGGATTTCAAGTTTTTTGATGGATATTGTGCTTGGGAAAGAAAGCAGCTTAGGGATGAGATTAGGGCCCGTTATTGGACTGTAGCTGCTTGTAGTCTTAGTGTTATTGGGCTTGCTACTGTGGGTAATATTATGCTGTGGGATGAAATTATTGGGCTTTTGGGCCCTAGAAAGGTTTGGTAATTTTCTTGAAGAAAGAAGAAGCCCAACAATGTTGACTATATGGGAAGGGACACCTTAATCCCTTTGATTTGTAAATATTAATGTATTTGACAGTGTTAATGCCATTTTATCCTCATTAAAATAAACATCGTTCACTCATTCGTCAGTATATTTTTAATTTATTTATTTTAATAAAATGAAGTATGAGATTTATTTCTTTTTCTAGCTCTATTTCTGCATAATTTCTACAAACTATAATCCAACCCTAAAATTTTATTATTTTCTAGTCGTCAATATTTTATGTTTGTAGAGTTTTAATGATGGATAAGTTCTCTCGATGCACGTGTCATTTTGTCCAAGTTTATCTGCTTTCAAATTTAGATTTTCAACATTTTCATATATAAGATGAGATCTTCACAAGTGAAAGCTTGACTTGTCAATGAATTCGAGAAAAGCCTAAATTTTAGGTAATAAGCTATGCTTTACCGTTGATTCTATATGGACAGAAAATTCTTCGAGTGTGGGTATTAAGTACTTAGATCTATCTCCTAGCTCCAATTTAAGTTCTCGAAGCACATGGAGAACCCCCATCGAGTTTGTGTCTGTTATGAGAGCAGAGAATTGATGCGATTTGAGTAAGGGAGAACTTGTATCCTTAAAAGGTATTTACGGATCGATCCTCTGGGCTTCAAACTATTTTACAATGCAACTTGATGGACTCCAAATCATTATTGAATATGGCATATGGATTTCGAACCATCTCAAAATATAATCTAATGCACTTCAAAGCTTAATGAAATATGACTCGATAATATATAAGAAATATCCTTTTCTATTTTCCTATTTCAAAAAGAGAAATCAAGCCTAGATTACGACCACGACCATGAAGAAGGTCAAGACAAGATCAATACGAACACACTAGAATTATAAGGAATAAAGAGTGAACTAGACATAGATCAATTTGTATGTTGGTTTTAGCTTTCAATTATTTTGCACACCTATGTATTGAACTCAATCAATCCTTCATCTTGCATTAATTTATGTTTAAATGAATTTGGCGACGACAATAGGATCCTATCTTTTTGTTTTTCATTTTTTTTCCTTTCATGCATAGAGAAATAATTTCTCGACTCTGCTTCATAAAATATATCGTGTATTCTCCATCAATCCTTTATCTTGCATTCATAGAATACAATTGTCTACAACCTCATATATACGGTATTCAAACCTTTTCACAACATAATTTATTGCACTTCAAAGCTTTGCGAAATATGACGACTCAATAATAGATATGGAATCTCACGTTCTATTTTCCTATTTCCTAAAGAGAAATCGATCCTAGATTACAACCATGAAGAAGTCAATAAAAACATACTAAAATTGTAAAGCATAGGTGTAGACAATATCAATTTTGTATGTTTGTATTAGCTTTCAATTATTTTGTGTGCATGATGTTCGCATAATCCTTTCATGTGCATGTATCGAACTCTATCAATCCTTCATCTTGCGTTCTTAAGAACAATTGTCTACAGCCGCCTCATGTAATCAAATTATCCTCGACATTGTTTAATTGAGACCGACTGAATCTATTGGACCGATTAGAAATGCAACCGATCAAATTCGAGTGATTCTAATGAAAATATTACGGAGAATTATCATAAAATTTTATTACAATATCTTAAACTGAGGTGAGCTTATTTCTTTTTCTTCAATGTTTCAATGATGCCCTGAATTACCTGGTCTGAACTCCCACCAATTCCATGAGCCTGTCGAGCTTTTTCCCCCACCTCACTTGCCTTGAACAAATTTTCGCCTCGCATAATCTCTCGGATTTTCTCTGCTATTTCTTCTCCGTTAACCAACATTTTCTCCCAAAAACAATCCCTAGCCCACAACCCCAAGCCGGCATTTTCCACCACTTGTGCATTAACCCTTTGGTCTCCATGCTGTGGCCAAGCTAATATGGGCACCCCTAATCTGGCTGCTTCCATTACTGAGTTCCACCCGCAATGGCTCAAGAATCCTCCAATTGCTGGATGTGCTAAAATCTGGTCTTGGTTGACCCACCCTTTAATAACCAGTCCCTTATTCTTTGTTCTTTCAAGAAATGATTCACCTAGTATATCCTCAATTGCTTCCTTGTCTTGTGTATCAACTTCGCTGCCTTTCAATATCCACAAGAATCTGCACCCACTTATTTCTAGTCCAGTGCCCAATTCTCTTAACTGATCTTTTGATAAAGCTGTCCGACTTCCGAAGCTTATGAAGAGTACGGACTTTGCTGGTTGATTGTCTAGCCATGGAAGATCAATGGCCTGTTCAGCCTTAAAAGACTCAAGAGGTCCGACAGGGAGAATGGGTGCTAGATCTTGCACTACCGTTCCACTATTCAGTACCTGTTCAAGACAAAATCTAAATAAATTGAACTAATCTACTCAAACAGGGAATTGGAAACAGGGAAAGAAAACAGACAGAGTTGGCAGCTTGTGATTGGGCGGTTTTTTTTCAAATTTTTCCATCTCCCAATGAATTGTCTCTGTTTGCTTTTTCCTGTCTATCTAGCATTGCTCAAATAAATTTATTTGTGCCGTCTCTAATAATTAAAGTGTCATAGCTAACAAAGATTATGGTTCAAGTAGCATTAGCATCCATTTATAAAATTGTTCCAAGTGTCACGTCTTTGGTAATGAATCTGACCTATACGAAAGGGTGCGTATTGAAATAGCTTAAGCTTTTAGACAGTACCTCAATTGTTTTTGACTCGAACCAATCAAAGGTGTTCACCAGTATACCACTCACTTTCGAAAAAGATGTAGAATTTGAACTTATAATGGTTGAAAAGTAGTGATTTGGGTTAAAGAAAGGGGGAGGAATACTTGACAGTGGCATTGGAGCTAAACCAGCTGGAAGTTCAATGCTGTCTATGCCTTCATCGCCGCCATTTTTGGGATTGTTTTCTACTAGCTGAGAATGGCAGGCCATAAGAGAGAAAAATCTAGCAGAAGTAGTGATGAGTATATAAGTGGGAACGGAAAGATCAGTAGCAATTTTACAGACACTGCTTGCTATAGTAAAATCCGTGATGATGGCAGAAAGAGGAGGGGATATGTCAGATAGGAGTGGATGAAGAAGATGAACTGAGTTGCTAATGGATATGAATTGAGCAAAGAAAGGATCAATGTCGGTGGATGGTTTGTAGGGAAGGAGTTGGAATTGGAGGCCCCTGATATTTTCATGGCTGGCGAAAAAGCGTGACAATTGGTTTGATTCTGCTGCTGAGACTGTGGGCTGCGCGGTGATGAGAGTTATTGTGCAGTTGCGGGTCGCTAGCATGGAAGCTAAGCGAAGGAATGGCATCAAATGGCCCATTCCGGCAGTCGGAAAGAGAGCTATATGAGGAGCAGTCTGATCTAAATTGGTGGTACTGGCCATCGTCTGGGAACAAATTCTAGCAGTGAAAAATGTTCTGATGAGCAACTTCTATATGAATTAATAGAACCCCCAACCCACCCACCCAATCCAAAAAATGGAAAAAAAGACCAGTAATATATTCGAGAGAGAAGATTGAACAGCACAGAATAGTGTTAAAGAAAAAAGTAATTAAAACTCTTATTTATTTATACTATTATGTCTAATATCGCAAGCAAAATATGTAGCCACAAGAGCGTTGGATAGGTCGTGGGGGGTTAGAAGGCAGAAATCAAGAAGAGGTTAGGTGGAGAGGACGTCTTCTACAAACAGAGTGCAACATGATATTTTTACGGGGTTGTTGGCTATGAGGGTTGGTCTAGAAATTAAATGTCAATTTAAGGCTCGTGGACCGTGTAGCACCATACAAATAAAATTGAAGCAAGCAGCGTGCCACGAAATGTGTCCATTCTAGAGTACTGTGATGTTCGTACGTCTCATCCAACTTATTAAATATGGCATTAAAGTCTAAATGTACATGAAATATATCTAAAGAATTTCTCTGTGGCTAGATTATCATAATGTTGGAATCTCCCAAAATGGTGAAAATCACTTATTAAAAATCAATGCATGGAACAAGAATAACAAATCAATGCATGTCTATATATCTCAGCCAAATGAATTAAGAAGCGAACCATTTTATTCTTGGAACGGTTGAAAACCATAATTTGGAGCTCACCATTAGTACGTTCATAGCCCTGTGAAGTTTTTGCAAAGGCAATCGTTCTATAGAGACCCCATAACATAGTTAAAACGCTATTTGAGTCATAATTTTGATTATGGTACAAAAGAGATAAAGAGAGTAATATATATTTGCCTATGATTTCTAAGTACAAAATTTTCGCCATTCCTAAAGTCCTTCCGTCCACGAAAAACTCGACGGGAGACTGATACAAGTTCAGGGCACGGTCCTGATCAAATGGTTTGCCTTTAGAAACGCTAAGCTGGAACTATACGTCGCAAACGTTATCATCATTTGATGTATCTGTGAGCGTGGATTTAGCGTTTGCTGGACCAAAAAACAACTCCAAGCTGAATGAAGGGCCACAGATTGACCTGCCCCTTTTCCCAACTTTGTCCATATCTCTGATGGAGAACTGAAAGGTTATGGCAAAAAAATCCAGATTAAGCCTAGTTTCTGATAAATTTGAGGTCACTGCCATTCGAATACTTTCATAACCATTTTCACTACAAACGAAAGCAAGTACCTGCAGCAGGCTATTTGTAATGAAAGCTGTATTGAAGCATGCATAGAAGATACGCCCTCCAATCATTTTCTCATAAAAAATGATGCGCACGTCTCCAGTAACCTGCCGAAGCAAATGTTAGATTCATCAGTTATAAATCGAGCTTGGTGGGATATGGTCTTATATGAAAAAAACGAATTCCCGATAGGAGAACTTTCTTAGTGTTAGGTTTTGTGACAAAAATTATATGTGATTTAGAAGTTTGTTGCATGAAAGAAGCTTTTTTAATCTTGGTTTAGAAGTACGGTTTGATTAAGAATCAAGTTTCATGGTGTTTTGGGAGCTTGATTGAATTAAGGAGTTGGAGATGAAGTAAAATACTTTGGAGCCAAAAAGAAAGAAAAAATAATTTCAGCATGCCCGGCGTGGCGCCCTTGAATGGGCGCTGCGGAGCTGGGTTTGGCGCCGAGGCGCCCGGTAGCGTCTTTTTCCCCGGTTTCCTTGTTCTATCCGGATTTTGGGACCTCTTCTTCATATTGGACTCCACAACTTCAAGATTTGGTTTCTATAAATACTCCACAAGGTTTAGGCACTTAATAAGGGAGGAAAAGGCAAGACTCAAGAGATATTATAACAATTAGATCATTGTGTATACATTAGAAACAAGAGAGAATTGTTTAAATTAGATTGAGAATATCAAAATCTTGTAAGACAATTGGTTATTTCTTAGTATAATAAATTCTCCCCTTCCACAATTTTCTTGATTGTTGCGCAATCCATTAAATTCATATTGTTCATCTTTAATTATTTGGCTGGTTTCTCAACAAGTGATATCAAAACGTTCTTGATATCGGGTTGGTTCATAACACTTAGAACTAGAAAATCCAGAGACTGTAAGTTTGTAGAATTGGCCAAAATTTTATACAGATATGTACATAATCTCTTTCTTAATGCAGTGAACTATTGTACAAAGTCTCACTAACTTTAACAGGAACCTTAGATTTCTGTGGCTACTAACTTCACTAGCTCAAAAGAACATGTTACCTACTGTAAAACAGACATTGCACAAATTCTATGGTCCAATTTTTGTGCAAGTTGTTTAAGTGGAGTGAAGCTTATGGATTTCTCATTAGTGTGATCAATGTTTGTTGATTTTCTGCTTCTTCTTTTTTCAGTTACTGTTTAATTAAGTTGGCAGCAGGATTTCTGAGCTTTTGTCAGCATCCAAATGTCCGAGAGTTCAAGGTCTCGCGTCACAATAACCCTCGGCTGCAGTGGTCAGGTGGTCTTATTACCACACTTCTTTTGTTTATACTTATATTAGATCATGTTTATTATTTTAGCCGCTTCTTGTTCGGATTGAAATATTTTAATAATTTGGAAACTGGAAAAACGATCAACAAGTTTCGGATTGAAACAATTGGTTCTACGGGTTCTGCATCTGCTAATTTTTGTGATATCTCATAGTCCCATTATTAATTTGTAGTTTTTTTGGGTTAAAAAAAAAACATTTTTATCAGTTTTACGTGGAAATGTGAATTCGATTGAGGTGCTTTTGCTAGTCCTCACAGTAAAAAAAACATATGTAACTTGTAAGTTTTCGATAATTTTGATGGTATGGAATTACTTGCATTTTAAAGTCTATATGCATTTTCGAACTATGCACTTGTGAACTTGGCTATGTTCAAAAGAAAATGTTACCTACTGTAAAACAGACAGTGCACAAATTCTGTGGCGACAAGATACGTAATATGAAGAGTATGTTGCTGATGAATCTTACTTGAACTGGTTTCTCATAAGAATAGCCAAGACAATTTTTCTGGTAGATCATGGAACTTTCAGTGTCCATTTGGACCACCAAACGATGTGACGTGTTATCCTCTCCTTCATCTCTATCCACATATGAGTAATAATAACAAGGGCTATTAGATTTTTGACAATCTTTTTCCACATGTCTGCAACAACTCTTCGAGACTTCTGCCGGGGGGCGATACCGCTGGCCTGGAATCTGTATAAAAAATTTGTAACTAGTTAAACTTGTAGTGACTTGACAAGAATATCGACAAAAATGATAGGACTTGTGTGAGTGGATAGAATGAAGAAGGCAAAATGGTTTCATGTGGTCAATTTAAAATTTATTGGGAATAAAATTTTGTTTTAGTTATTGAAAATTAACCGAGAATTACGTCTTGCAACTCTGAGACCACGAAGAAGATCTGATCAATGTTGACGGTATCATATAGTCGGATTCTCAGGAGTTCTCTGAGACACGGTTTAGGCAAGTATACGTCTGGATGGCTACAATTAACTCCCTGTGGGAAAGAGAGTGCTTTCTGCCAGTATCCAACATAACGACGCTGGCTTGCTATTGATACCTGTTAAGCATAAACCAGCCAAGAAAACTTGGTTACTGCTCTGTAATAAACTAATCGAAGAGTCGTCTTGCATAAAACCATTTTTTGAATTGTTGAAAGAGAGACTTACTCCTTCATTATTGGTGGTTCTTTTTTCTGCATACACTTGCATTGCTTCCTCTGCTGACATGCCCAAATAAGCTAGGTAGGAAGATACCATTAAACCAGTTCGGCCTTTTCCTGCCTGAAAATTTGAACAAAAAGTTGAGTTAATTGCACCTAACATGAGTAGAAAATTCACAAAGAGAACCGGGTATTGAATTTTGAGTCCAAAAATCCATATAATTATCAGAAAATTACTCGTCAATAACTAATAAATGGTAACTTTAAAGCTTTTACTATACCATGCAGTGAACAACAGCAATGTTCTTTGGATCACTTGATAGCCATGAGTGGACATCTTCACAAAATTCTTTGATCATCGAAAGTGGTGGGACATGATTATCATCGAACGGATATCTCTCCAAACGACCATGAAAATGCATTGCATCATAAGATTCTTCTATGCATAGATTATAGACCTATCAGCCACAACATTGAAAAATAAAAATAAAGATCAAAACTAAAAAGTAAACTAACAATCTGAATTCTGGTAGTTCAAAATTTGTGATGCACACCTTATAATGACCAGGATGTCTCATTTCCAGTACAGACTTAACCTGCCATAGAGGATTGCGATACATGGCGCGCATGCGTTCTGCAGGAAATGACATGGCCAATATTCGATCAGTGATATAAGTCATATCAAGATCATAGCCAGCAACCAGCATTCGCCGTCTTTTCTTCGACACAAGGTTACGTATAAAGAGATTTGCTGAGAGATAATTGATGAATTGATGTTGGGCAAAGTCAAAACTCAAATGTCCATCCCTTTGTGGCCCCTTCTTTGAGAATTTCAACCCCATTATGCAGGTGAAAAGAAGCTGTTTAAAATTCAAATGATAAAACTTCCAAAAATCAAGGTAATGGAAGCACTTGCAAGCAACGATTTCCTGTAAAACAAAACATATTTCCTAAAATTCAAGACAAATAATAAGTTCCCCGCCTTTTTTCAGGTCATTCGAGCAACATGCAGGTCATTCCGGCAACCCCATTTTCCAGGTATCATCAATGAAAATCACAAAAGAAAAAAAAAGACGGGGAAAAACCCGGTTTCAATATGGATGGAATTGACAGATACCCTTGGACATAAATTGGCCTGATCTCTTGTTTTCTCCAAAATGAGACTGGAAAAGCATTAAAGTGAGTCCAAGGTTACCAAAATTGGTCCAAAAATTTAAATATAAAATTCTTGGACCAATGTAATTGGAAATTAACCCTCTGAGAGCCTCAGTACTCTGCAAAATTATATAACTGCTTTTCAAGGGGACCAAATGGAGAAGATGATGTTACCCATCTCAGGATTAAAACAGACAATGTGTAGTTTTATTCAACATGAACTTCTGCTAATTTTGGAGTGAGTTTTTTGGCCACAATTTTGACAACCTTAAACTCCAAGAAAAAGGGGCCGCATCAGCAGGACAATATAACATTCCTTTTTTAATTTTTTAATGTATTATAATTTGTTCCTCCATGACAGAAATCTGGTTATCTTGAAAGGTTGCCAAATGTATTATTTTATTTTAATTTACAATAAATATTAAAAAGAATTTACAGCGTCATTACCTTCATCTAATAATTAATACAAGCGAAAACATGAACTATTTGTTAAGAATTGTGGTTCCATCTTAAAATGTCAACCTTATTAAAAGGAATAACCCAAACCCTTTATAAATTGGTCTATGTTTTCTTCTTTATTCGATGTGAGATTCTATCCCTTAACATGCCCCCGCAAGATAGTGGCTCGTTTGAGCAGACCAATCTTGAAATCCGTATGTTCACTTTTGGAGTCTTAATCGAATCGAATTGCTCGTTAGAGCTTAATGTGCTCTGATATCATGTTAAGAATTGAGGTTTCATCTTAAAAGGTCAACCTTATGAAGAAGAGTAGCACAAACCCTTTATAAATTGGTATATATTTTTATCTTTATTCGATGTGGGATTATATCCCTTAACACTATTTTCGCCTGTGACAAGAGAAATAAAAGACCCGCTAAGGAACCATTTCAATTGCACATATGGGAATAGGTGCGATATATGTGATGAAACTAAAATTATGAGAAAAATAGGAGTCTGTAGTGGTAACTAACGGATCGGGCTGAGGCCCATGCTGCATGGATCTGTTTTTTTTTTTTTTTTTTTGATCGATAAATAATTAATTATATAGATCAAACCTGAGTACACTGAGTACACGTACACCGGTTGTTCCCGGGCAAATCAACAAAGTAACAACAAGGTAACAATAGCTACTCAGAGAGGGGTATTACAGACTCCATCAGTTTACCCTAAATACAAACAGTAGTAATCAACCCATAATAAGTGTTTCGTAACAAACCAAAACATTTGCATGGATCTGTTTTTATTATATATATTAGGGTTTCATAACATCATATCATTTAGGTTACCTTTTAATCGATAAAGATGCGACATTTGGGTTGCCTTTTAATGGATAAAGGTGCGATTGAGGGGATCCGGGTTAGAGTTTGTTTGTCATATAGACGGGTACAATTTCTTTTTGAGTCTGAATCCAATATTGTAATGACTTCCATTTTTGATGTCTTGGATTTGTACATCTAGAAAGATTGGATAAAATCCACTTTGGTTTGATTTTTTCTACAATCAATCTTGAGATTACTTTGTGTTTGCACTTTGGTTTGATTTTTTCTGCAATTGATCGTGAGATTACTTTGCGTTTGGTTCGGTATTTAGCATAACAATCACATGGTGCCTACGGCCTATGGTAAAAAGTTCGGTGAATGGGGAATGATAAAATCCTTCAAAGCTTCCTGTTATGGAATCCTTAGCTCGACAACTTAAAAAATAAGAGAAAAAAACGTTTGTCATTATCCAACCTTTTCGATCAAATCTAAGCAAATATAATGCTTAATATCCAGCCTCAGGCCCTGGGGTAAGTCTTTGATCAATTCCATCTCGTCCTGTCCTCCCATTCTCTGCCATCTCTGGTGTTCATATTTACGAACTCTTCGTCTCAGATGAGATGGTAACTGTCTGCGCTTCATCCACCACTCCACATCTTGATGTATTTTCTTGCCTTTTTTTTTCTCCTTATCATAAGTGTGTGTGTGTGTGTGTGTGTGATACTTTACATCGATATTGCACCACAGATCAAAGGCAAAAATGAGAAAGCTATAAGATTTTGGAAAGACCTGAATATTCCTGATCAACATAGTAAAGAGGAATAATCCAGACCACCATACATATCGAAAAAATCACTTCCAGGCATTGGCTAGTAGTTTCAAGAATGTTGCCCATAGTGCTAAAACATGACGCAAACAGCTGGTTCACTTTCCGGCTCGCAAAGGCTCAAACGGGCGGTGGCTCTCTGTTTGCTTGCAATGCCGGGCATTCTCCTTTAGTTAGAAGTAGAAGTAGAGGGTTTTTTTTAACACACTTAAAAAATGTCAATAAGTATGGATGAAGTAAGAAAAAGTACATAAGGAGTGAAAGAAAAACTTAATTACAGGAACCGAAGGTTAGGCCGTGCCAAAAAGGTTAGTGCCTGACTATTCCTATTTTTCTTCTTTAATACTACTCTCTGTATGATCAAAAATGCTTATAATATCAATCTTGTTAATACCCCAAGGTAAAATATAGGTGTATCTTAACTATAGTCCGACTCGTATCATGTGATAAATTTCATAACTATATTTTGACTCAGAGTCATTAAACCCCCAAAGGTTGGAATAGAGAATCTTAATTGTCACGGGTCTTCTTGAAATGAGTGGAAGAGCAAACTGATAAATCCCATATGAAATGGTCCATCAACATCCAAACACATTGGTTTTTTATCCACTATTGTTGAATTGTAACTCCAATGATCTCCAAATGTGTAGCAACAAATTTCCCTCGCGCAAGACAGCGAAGAGTCGTAGCTAGCTCTTTTGTCGCATTGTTGAGTCAGTTATGACACTATACGACATAGACCTAGGATATACCAGTATCCTCCAAAGCCTGTCAAATTTATAGAATAAACGTGCAACATTTAGCACTTCACTAAAAGACAATTCATAATAAGCAAGTAATTCATGCAGATTATACATTGAGAGAGTTATACGTATGTGAGAAGCGAGGAAGTAAACAATTAGGTTAAGTCCGAAAGCCACCAAATGCTGCCAAAGATGAAACCAGTAACCCTTCGCATTGCTTGCATTAAACAGAAGGCGTGAAAAACCTTGGGCAGAAATCGGACCAAGAATATGAATTGAAGCATCTCCCCTATTCTGTTTTTCCTTAAAATATTGGAACTACCAGCCAATACTCTGCCTGCCAATGAAAAATTTTCAAAACTTAAAAGTAGAGACTTTTATACAACATGATTTGTCAAAACTACAGGACTAAATTGTCACAAGAAGAGCTAATTAAGGATGTTGAGAGAGCACATAAAGGAAAGCTAACATGTTTGGTACGCAGTTTTGAATCTAACTGATGGATTGCCACTGTAATAGACAATATTCTTATACTTATTTAGCTATTGTTTTGTAAAACCTGATTTTTTATTTTTTTTTTTTTTTTGCAGAATGTGTGGTTAAAAATTAGAATTTTTTTTTTTAATTTACATGCAAAATTATTTTACTTAGATTATGCATAATTTCAAATACTGCTTATCTATATACCCGAGAGGCAAAGCACGTAATGAGAGGCGACGGCACTTGCGTCCCACACGAGTTTCCCGCATCCTACAACCATTGATTCTTTGGACACACAAGCCAAACAAAACTGGAGACAGAGGTTGCACGCATGCACCAGGTCCACACATGTGGGGATTACGGTGGCGATTGTCGCCACCCCACTGTCCATGTAAATGCATGGCGGCCTCTCACTAGTACTAATTGATATAGCAAAAAAGTACAGCAAATCAAAGGCCAAAGCCAAGCTTCGTGCCAGTACAACATGTAGGAAAATTGTTTCAATATTGGATACCGGATTCACAGTAGCAGATTCAAAACTTTGAATACAATGAATTCAAATATACACAACAGATTTAATACAGCAGCAGATTCGACAGTATATTAAATCTAACAGTTGATTTAAGCAGAACGAGAAACACAAATTTGCATAAACGAGCGATAAACAAATAATCGCAGAAGTTAAATGACAGGAAACTTTTAACCCGAGGCCTGTGTTCCACACAATTTCCTTAAAACA